CGAAGATGTTGGAAGGTGTCCTGAACATGTACCCAGCGCCTCCACCAGTGTCACGATGCAGAAACAGCAGAAGTCTGACACAGGAGAGCTCACTTTAATTATAGGCAAAGCACTGGTAAGAGGACTGGGCATGAGCTTTGTCTTCCTTTCTTGCTGCGTGAGCTCTTTGTTCTTTTAGCTCTGCAGGTTGAATGTGGCAATATGGTCCCCTGGTGACACTAAGGCGTGCCAGGCGACAGTGGTGCTAAGGTGCCTAGACAACATCGAATATACACGCCCCGGGCTTTGCTGCCCGCTGCCTCTCCCCCCCCCCTCAATAGATTTCATTGGAGTAGATCGCAGCCATGCAAAGTTCTGCTCACTCTTGCACGTGCGTGTGAGAGAGAACAGTTTCTGACAGCCACGACAGTGAAAAGCATCAAAAGACAGCTCACGGAAACCTTTACATGCTCGCGTGACACATTTCTGTGGCACGTCGAGAGAAATTTTGTGCGAGCAAAATGGGAAGAAAACGAAAACTTTGCAGCGACTACATAAAAGAGTATAGTAAATTCAAAAAGTCGACGCCCTCTGAAGGAGTCACTGTTTGCAAGTGTGTCACTGTTATCATTGTTAACAGCTAGGGCGCCGTAAGAATCGTGGAGCTTTCATGATTACACCGCTGAAGACGCGCCACGCAGACACAGGCGAGACCTTGCGAAAGTGTTGGTGCGTTGAATTAAGGGGGCACTAGGTTCGTAAAAGAAGTTTTCTATTTATTATCGTAATGTCATGAAAAAACCATGCTTGTGTGCCATTGAATGGAGATTTAAAATCTGTAAATAAATTTAAAATATCTCTTTTAGAAAAAAGGTAATGACAAATTTTCACATTATATTTGGGTTATTTCTTATAGGTTATTATGGTAACTTGCAATAAAAAAAAGTTAGTTTTCAAAAATACACGTTTTCTCTAAAAGGTTCATTCCACAGGCTAAAGCAAACTAGATGTCAAAATGACTATTTCTTTAATCAAAAATAATTGTAAACTTCGAAGGTGAAAATGAGCTTCCAGTAATTAGCTGGTATTTATTTTATAACTACAATTCTATGAAGGTTGAGAGAAAAAGAAAAGCTTTAGCTTGTAGTTCAAGTGGTGCCAAAAAGAAAGGTACCGAGTTTAAATATCTTCGAAGAAACTTGCTCAAAACTTCCGTCAGGCAGAATAAGTTCACAAAAATAACAATGCCAAGAAAGTTACGTTTCCAGTTTTAAAAACATTTATAACTTAATATATTGAGATTTAAACAAAAGGAAATGGTATTTTGCAATAATATGACATGTTTTGGAAACATAATTTTGACTATAAATACCTCAAATTGCAATTTTTGAAAGTTAGCATTTTTTACAATTTCGTGCTATTTTAAGACTCTCTTCCCTCCTTAAATGGCTGCGTGAGAGTGAATGCAACATGCGTCGTACAGTTTCATGAGGTTTCGTCATGCTCGCTTACTTCTATGCCAGAATCTAAACAGACTTGCATGGTTAGAGTCAAATTATTTCACATCGTCTTATTTCTATCTCACTGGCAACTTGCCACAGCAAAGTTTGTGGGAAGAATGCATCACTTGGACCTGCTCCAAGAGGGAAGGTACTAGTGACATCTCGCTGCAGTTTTTCCGTGCAATCTGTCATGCTTGGATTTTAGTGCACTCGGCTGATCAACCTCTTTCGAAGCAACTGTCCGACGGCACGCACTATGCCAGGTTGTGACCAACTATATCGGAAATACCCACACGAGATCTGTGACAAAGACCTTGCGATGATAAGCTTCTTCGTGAAAGACGAGCCCATTTCTATCACCATCGACGAGTCACTGGAACTTCGTTGTTGTCCGGCGTGGCGTTGTTTACAACGTTCTACGATGACGAGCTTCCTGGATGTAGAACGCTTATGATCGACTTGCAAACAGGGCAGCAGTTCAACGCAGTATCAATTGGCATGTTGCAACAAATCGCCCTTCAGAAGGTTGAAAAAAACCTTAGGCGACGTAGCTGTATTGTGCTCTGACTCGGCTTCCTACATGCAAAAGCTTCACAATTATCTGCAGCTCTCCAATCCCAAATTCAAGGCACTTCATTTCGAAGATCTATGCCACCTACTGAACAACGTCCTGGAAGGTGGAATCAGAACGAGCTCGTTCAATGTACACTAAAACCTCGTTTTAATGAAGTTGAAGGGGAGCCATAATTATTTTGTTATATTGATTATAACAGTTTAGGGCAGTGTATGCTCAGATGGGCGCACACCTATAAGCATGCAAAGAAGGAAACCGCCTCGCGGCCCGATGTACTGCTATGCGACCACGTGTGCGATGGAAAATAAACACAGTCGAACCTCATACCTCATTAATTCGAACACGCTTAATTCGAACTTCTGGGAAATTTGAACTCATGCTGAGATCCCGTCAAAGCTATGTGTAATAGAATGGGCAAACACCTCCTCTAATTCGAAAGCGCAAGCACTTGCGACGATTAATTCGAACGTACCGCGCTCCGAAAATGCTCTCAGCACCATGCCCAATCCCGCCGCGGCACCTTTCAACGCTGCGCGCGAGGAAGAAAAGGAAATAAAAGACTGTGGCGGATTGTTTGCTCTCTCTCAAATGTCGATCTGCGATGCGCCTGTGCCACGCTTCTCCTTTTTTCGTCTCTGCACGTAGGGACCCTTCTCTTTTCAAGGCCACGCGCAAAGAGAGAGAGGAAAAAAAAAAAAGCTGTTGCAGAGAGTCCTCTTTTTTCGGTGCAGAGGGTAGGTAGCAGCAGAGACGCAGTTGTTACCGTCGCCTTTAAGGCACGGAGAGAGAAATTACCTTGCACCGTGGCGCCGCTTCTTGGTCATGTGACCCGCTGAGCGCTTCCTCAGTTCTCTCAGCTGGCTGTGTGAAGAGGACAGCTCTCTCAGCCGCACGTGGCGTGGCTGTAAGGTTGGCGCGGTAGTTTTGAAAGAGCCAGGCTGAACAAGCATCGAACTCCGCAGAAAACGATATACTTAACACACTACGATAAGTTTTTTTTTATAGAGTATTTGATAGACTAATTTAGTTTGTTGTATCCATTTACCGGTCAATTTTACTTTGTTATAACAATGTTTAAAATGCATGGCTCTCAATGGAGCTTTCAAGGGGAATTTCATTTACTTTGTTATATTCATTGTTTCGTTATATCCTGTTACGTTATGATGAGGTTTGAGAGTAGTTCACAATTTTGTTGTGCATTTTCTTGTCATGTTGAAGTTGTTGTGGGAGCTGCGCCATAAGTTCGGTCTTGTGTGCTTGGCTACGGATACAACCATTCAGTAGCTGAAAACCATATGTCCGTCGAGGTGGTTCTCTTTTTATGTTGCTTTGGAAAATATTTTGGACTGCTTATTAAGAAGCACCAAAGAAGCAACGTTTTTTAAGAAGCAACGAAGCCAAGGGAACGAAGTGTGAAAAGCTCAGTAGTCTTGTTTCATCTCCTGAAGCTGTGCGCAACTTGCTCGTTGATGGTGTTTCTGAAGATCAGTGCGTGTGCCGTGATCTCAATCATTGAAGAACTTGAGGCATAGAGTACCCTGGTACACCCAAGTTCATTCCATATTGGAGGTTCGTTTGCTCACGCTCATCAGTCAATGGGTGAATCCAAACGAGGTCTTTGCATCAGATGTCACAATTCTGCTATGCCTCCTTGACGAGAATCGACTATTGTAGACTACGCTGCTTTTTTCGAAAAAGGGGAAGCAGACATCCCAGACGAACCTGTGCAGTCAACTACAGCACACCATATAATCGTTTTGGTGCTGTGTTCAAATTGTGAACCCAAATGTGAGGCATGAGTTTTCCTGCGTGTTCGAAACCTATGTGCCTATTTTTCAAACAATGTTTCTTGAAACTGATGACTTCAATCAGCTCCTGAGTTTTTTTGGGAACTATCAGTGCTATGAAATACATAACATTGTTGCACCTCTGTCATCATGAACCTCTCTCACTGCGTGCGGCCTCGTCTGGCACTTCTTATTTCTAGCACTAACGTTGAAACGGCATTTTCAAAGCTGAGAGTCGTCAATAGAAAGGAGCGCGCTTCGATCACTGACTGCAATCTCGCCAAGTATGCTTGCTTGCGTATTTTACAATAAGCTTCAACTAAGGCTGTTATACACAAAATTTAAGGTGCTCTGCGTTCAGGTATTTTGCTTGTACGGATATGGCTTTGTCCATTCATATGTTTCAGGAAAAATAAAGTGTGCTTCGCGTGTTATATTTCAGATATGAATTGAATCTATGATTTTTGGGTTTTGAGACTAATCCAAAACTCCTAATTTCAAAGAATTTGAGAGTTACGGGAAATAAACTCTGATAAACATGGAATTTTGATCATAAATAATAAATCTGATAAACACCCACCGTTTTTCAAAAAATGTAAACACGAAAACATGAAGCCATATCTATAAGACACATAAAAATAAGGGTTGATTAGAAAATGGGGCCTATAGACACACCTCATCTGTGAATGATGAAAATAGGTCTCTTATAAAGGGCTGTACATGCCATTTCTGAGAATGACTTTGCAAGTACTGTACACTGGCATCTGGCTATGTTTGGTATGAACCATCTTTAGATTTGAATAGTGTGCATGGTAAAACTTGCAGCAGGACAAAGCAGGTGAACATGGGGCTTTCTTTTCATTTTCACTTTCTTCTTGATGCGCACCACCAGCACTCGCATCCTCTCGGAAAGGGTGAGCATGGCTGCAATATTGGCAGCAACGTGTGGTGCAGAAACACGTCTTTGTTTAAGTCTTAATTCAAAAACATAAAATACACTCAAGATGCCATGTTTACACAAAAAAAGAAAGGAACCTTGTGTAAAATTGAATTTTTTGGCATTATGCATAAACCTGTTTGCTTTAATTTGTTTAGGGCAGACAGTGCTGTAACTGAACCAGTATTCACGCAAGATCTTCTGAATTACGAATGGTGCAGGAGAAGCAGGAGCTGGAACGACAGTTGCGAGAAAGTGTGCGGCGAGTGGAGCTTCTGGCTGGCCGGTGCGAGAACCGCGAGGACATTGAGAGCTTCCAAAGCCAAGAGATGGCCAAAGTCAAGCACTTGGTCAGTATGTGGCACACTTCCTCCATCTCGTAGTAGTAAGCTGGTGGTGTTCTAGCCCATTGGCATTTGTATTTCCAACCATGTGGGTCGCCATCTCACTTCTCACCATTGAGTCAAAGGCTTTTAGTTCTTGTGAGCACAAAATCAGTACAGCAGGTGACAGAAACATGTGCTGAAGGCACCATCTTTTGATGAAGACACTGGGGGTCAAAGTTGCATTACTGTTAGCGCCTTCACTGGCTTTGCTAGAGTGCACAACTTAGTAGTGCAAGAACAAATTCTGAATCCATGTGGTGATGTTGTTCTGGCCATTGAAAAACAATGGTCAGAAACTAAGGCACTTGCCTTTTGGCATACTTGCCAACTCTGCAGATTTTTCTGTAAAATCTATGAATTTTGACTGCACTTACGATTTTACGAATCTTGCTTGAAATTTTACCAAAAATATTTCATTTCTGATAAAAAAAAATAAAATTAGTAAAATAGCGTGGCCTCTGTGATTGGCTACGGCACATTGCCATAGCTAGTCGCAGAGGCCACAAAAACAGCATTGTGCTGTATTCCACCTGAAGAGAACAATATGTATTGGTGTTATCATAATCACATACCCAAATCTCCCGCATTGTCTGGGAGACTCCCGGATTTCGACCGTTTCTTGTGTTTGTGCAGTTGCCATGAAAATCTCCCGGAAATCGAAATTTGTGTGTGAGATTTGACTGCATTGACAAAAATGCAGGTCAGTTCGTTCCGGGTTTTTCGCAAGCCCACCATTATAAACAAATTTGATAAGCGTTCATCTAAGCATACAGTAGACTCTCACTGATGCGAAACTGCGGCAGATACGAATTGGTGAAATTCCCCAGCCAAATTCTTGTGTCCATTAGCCCGAAATTCGAATGTTCGAACACTTTTTCTAATTGCAACATGTGACACGAACTTTAGTGCCGAAACCGTCGAACAAAGGCCGATTGAGATTAGTGTGCTCGATGTTTAGGAAGTACGCATGTGACTAGCGCATGCACTGTCTTCTACAGTGAATGTGGTTGTCAGTGCCACAACTGCTGTGGACGAAACCGTCGTGGTCGTTCGACATGATCATATATGGCAACGACGTTACTGACAAAACTCCGAGAGTGTGCGTGTGGCCAACGCTCGAACAGTCAAAGCAACGCTGCTTTCCACAAACTCTGTGGACAAAACCGCGGTAGTTGCGATCATAGATAGGATAAAATGACTTAGTTTTTAAGGCATGTGGAATGAAAAGAAACTACCGTTTGCCGCAACCGCCGCGCACAATACGGCTGTCACGGCGATGCGATAGCGATCTAAGAGTTTCAAAGGCATGTGGCTTACAGAGCAGTAGATTAAAAGTGATAAAGACGTAAAAAAGGCTTGAAGCGTTTTGGCGTTCCTGTCCAAAAGTTCTAATAGCGCCCAAAGCCAAAGCTTTGACCTGTGCTTTCGCGTAAGCCAGCTGCGCCGTCCCGTCGGTTCACGTGTGAAAACGTGCGAGTTGTTTGGACGGAAATTAATTTTTTGGCTAGTTATTATGATGTCGCAAAATTTGGGGTGCATTTGCGCTCCCTCTTGAGACTCTCACCTTAGTGGGAAACCCTACCCTCGTGTGTTCGGCCACTCCAAGCCATTATGAGACTGAAACGCCGATGTTTGGGCTTGCGCTTGAACTCCTCCCCCCCCCCCCCCCTGTGGTTTTTGCAATGTTTTTTCTGTTTTTGGTGCCAAAAGTGAGGCAAATAATTAAGCGCATCAATTTGACTTATGGCAGCAAAACATGATAATGCTTGTTGCTAAAGGGAAATCCATCACAGCTACAAATGAAAGAATAAGTCAGTAACCACCCACCCCCACCCCCACCCCCCTTCCCCGCTTGGTAGTTTTACGAATTTCTCTGTTTCCAGGTTGTCATGTATGTATACTGTATATGCAACATTTATGTTATTGGACAGGACATTGTTTAGCTACAATTTGGTACCAAAGTATGCAAATAAGGCATTAGTATCTAGCTACAAAAAAATTTTTACACCTAGTAAAAACGGCCCCTTTTTTCATGGTAGTGAAAGAGTTCAGTTGAATTTAAGGTATGCAAACAGCAGTATAATTAGTGAGATCAGTTGCAGTGGTTGTACAAGCCAGCTGCGCCAATTGTGCCAGACTGCAGCAAGATCTGCTAAATTTTGGAGAAATCTTGTACTTGCACTGAGGGTACATTGTTTTTGAAGTCTTTCAGAGAAAAAGATGATGAAATGCGCTATACTCTGGGAGAGTTCTTCATGGCAATGCAGTCAAGGCGGCAGAGCTGAACCGTTCTGCTTCAATAGTTTCATTGCCCAGTTAAAGCTAGCCCTGCCAAAAAATAAAAAAGAAATAGTTTGCGATGTGTAATCGAAACATTTAAAAATGTGTAGTCATAATTTTGTAGCTACTAATTGATAATGCTAGAAATTTATGAGTGATATTGCATGACACAGAGTTATATTTTAGATTTTCAGGTTTTTTTAGGCTTGTGCGAAGAGTAGTGAATTATAGGTTTGAAGTGTATAGTGATCTTGGTCGAATAATTTTGAATGGAATTCGATTGGAACAATATATATCACATAATATACAGACAAATGCACATATTTCTCATGGATAAACTAACCTGCACAATATTTAAAAAAAAATTGACACAAGGCCGGGGCGGATTTCACTCTTTTGAGTTCAGAGAAAGTGGAAATAACTTCGAATATTTGCAGGATTCGAATTTTGATAGAATGCTGTAATAACATGTACAATATCTTCCATCTTAAAATATACTATACTTAGAGCATATAAGTCGATGTGACATTTTTAAGTTTACAAACTGGTGAGTATGTACTCGTAAGGGACCTTAGACAATGCGAATTTTTTGTTAGAGAGATGTTTTCACAGTTTCGCATTTCTGTACTGCAGTGAAACTATCTTTACAGAGGATTGCATTCGAAAAGATAGACGTTTAAATGAGTGTTTTCACGGTTTAGCACTCTTTCACTGCAGTGAAATGACCTTTACAGGGGGAACATGCGAATTAACATTAATCTATTCGCTTTTTTCGAATACTTCGAAATTTTCAACAATTTAAGTTAGAGTCTAAGCAAATTAAAATACAGCAATATTTTTCAAGCATTTGAATATTCGCACAAGCCTATTTTTTAGTTCCAGTGTTCCCCACTGGTGTCGCATTGTTTCCTTTCAGAGAAATATAACAAAAGGCTACTGTGTCGACAGTGCCTTCCTTCTCTATTAGCGAGCTTGCCAATTCACTTGCGGCGTGGGATTTTCGAGAAGCTTGAGTGCCAAAAGCTGCCAAAACAGACGAAGCAATAGGTCTGCAACGTGTATGTCCAAGTAAGACTGATGAAACCAGGAGTCTCCGTTGCTTCCATGTCTCGTTCAGTTAGCCAGCGTACCGGCATGAGCGAGCGAACTGCTCGCTCATGCCGGTACGCTGGCTAACTGAACCTCCTCAAAGTGCATATTTTAAGGGGTACCGTAATTACTCGAATCTAACGCGCACCTTTATTCCGGTTAAGCGAGTTCATAAATCACATGCGCGTTTGCATCGAGTACGAAAATAAAAACGAATACGGTCATTCTATTGCCATCGGCATTTCCAAAATGGCCGCCCCCTACGTGTGTCGGCATGGCGCATGGAGGAAGGAAAGGTAGGAGAGGGCATGCTCAGCCGGCGCGCGGCATGAAAAGTGTGGCGGAAATGACATCATGGCGGCCATATTCACTGGGCACAATGGCGGCATTGTTATGGTTACGTGTTGCGCAGTGGAGCTGGTCTAGCGAGTGGCCGCGGCTGGCGGTGGCATGTGTGCCTCCCCAGGTCTCGCGCTGAGCAGTGGCGGACAATATTCGTGCGTTATTGGTTACGCAGTGTTCTCCTGGCAGTTACTGTAACCTTAGCAACGTTTGTCCATCACGCGGTTTTAGCAGTGCGTAGAATGAGTGCATATTCATGTGTCTTGCGGCGGATGACGCGGATGAAGCAGTTAGTGTTCAGCGAAATTGCGTTGGGCATCATGACGAAGCTGAACAACGACGAACGCCTTGCAGGTCAGTGATGGTTGAGCAGTGCTCCTGCTTGTGACAACGGACGATGCTGTTTAGCCCAGCAAGACGCCATGAGGACCATGTGCACATACGTAGCTTCGTGTTGTGTGTGTATAGTAACAAATTGAATGTGCGTATTAAAACACCTTTTCTGTTCCGCTTCGTACACTCTCCATCAGCATTGCATGTAATCTCAACGTAACAGCAACCACGTTCAAGTGTCACTTGCACCGTGCTCAAAGTTACCACGGTCGCAGAATGCTGACGCCGGTGAGTTTCACGCGGAACACGGACACAGTGGCCGGACGCTGCGTCGGCCGCGTGGCGGAATGCAACCGTAGAAGGCGCGCAACCGATCGTGTTGTCTGTACAGTTGCTGAATTAATGACGTGAAAACGCTCGCCGTTGTCAGTGCATCTAGCGTGCGTTCTCTTGTAGTTGCTTCGTTGTCGGTGAGCCGTTACTCCCTGTTATTACTCGGACGAAATGATTTCGCCGAAGGTGTCCCGCTGGCTCAGAGTGATGATCCCCGTTCCATTAGTTTCGGATCGTCACGATACACGCGCTGCGCAGCCCACGTGCTTTTCGAGCCGGAGAGAGAGTTGCGCCTTCTGCTTTACATTCGGATGTAAACAAGAGAGGAGAATTTGCCCAGTCAATATGGCCGACATCCGGCTTCATTGTGGCTTCACAACGAGTGACGTCAGGGCCTCTCCTATCTTTCCTTCCTCCGTGGCATGGCGCGTCGGCCATTTCTGCCAATGTGTTTCCCATGTGCGGGACTTTGTACATGTGCTGAGGAGTTCGTCATCTTGTAGTGCATTAGCATCGACGGCATAGAAGGGCCGACTCCAAAAACTCGACGAGTGCACCACGATGCCGCTTTTAAAAGAAAAGGCATC